GGAAGGGGAGTCTATTCTATGTGTGTTCTGTTTTATTTATTTTTTTTGTAAGTTTTTGTGTATATCAGAAAATTAATCCTGGAATTTGTAAGTATTGCAAAATTATTCGATGACCAAATAGAACTTATTTTACAATAAAACCATGAAATCTACTGAGGAATGAGTGTGATTTGCAATAACTGATTTAATGCTTCCGGAAGTGTGAATGTGCGTGGGTTAGCAATAAGTATATGCTTATTTTTAATGGATTTATATATTATATAAAAGCATCACTCACCTGTCCCAGACTCCTGTAACTCACTCTCGACAAACAGATGCTGGATGTATCCACCTTCTCCTTTTCTCAGAGCAGCCAAGTCCAGTGTTTGGGAGGCACATCCCGCCCTGTCAGTCTAGATCAGACAAGCAGCTGTCAGTGCAATAATGAGACGGCAGGAATGGCAAAGGCTTTGACTTTTCATTTCCGCGCAGTTTACAGCATTAAAGTTTTACGTTACAGGACCACTTGGGTCAAATATGGCTTCTTACTGTCTTGATGTATGTCATGCATGTATTCAATCTCCAGCCCTGCAGACACACTTTTGCCTTCACTGATCCTAGGATGGGCTTTCCATAGGTGTATCTACAAAAAAGTATGTCATGATTTACCGTTTTAAGGAATTAGAATCCATATTAGAGACAGACCAATGCAATGCCATTACAACAGAACATAAGATGACGTTAAGCTACTCCAGTGATCCCTAGTGAGAAGAATTTGCTAAGACTTACTTTCCACAAACTTTCAGCACTGGCTGAATATCTTGAACATACAAAACCTCAGGAAGATGCACTTTTACCTCAAACTTGGGTAGAACTACATAAAAAAAACACAAGACCTGTTGTTTTCAGGAGAGAGGCAGAAACATCCACTTTCAGCAGCAAATGTTTGAGAAAAAAAACAGGTAATTTTTAAAAAACATTAGATACATTTAAAAACATTAGATTAGATTGATTAGATAGATAGATAGATAGATAGATATTGTGTTATCATTAAAAAAGAATGAGGAAGGCCATTGGCATGGTTAGCAGGTGTGAAGGTGTCCTGACCATACTCTTGCACTTCAAAGGACTGGGAGGCTTGTCTGCCTGCTTCATTCCAGGCGGTGATGACGTATCTGCCCTGAGGCGACTCAGCACTCAGGCGATAGGACAAGTCCAGAATCCCGCTGGCAGCTGACTGGTTTAACCACTGAGCAATACGATTGTGGTTGGGATCCTGCAAATACACCAAATACAGGCAGAGGAAGACAGAAATTACAATGTTAAGGACCTTTTAGCTTTGAATATGTAAATAACTATATGGACAGATCACCACCAAATTGAAGAAAACATCATGGTGAATTGTCACTAGGCAACCATGACTCACTAGTCCTCCAGAATATCCCATAAGTGTTTAACTGGCTAGAGATAGGGTAATGGGTATAGTGAGATTATCCATCAGGTAAATAGCATTTTACCACACACACACACACACACACACACACATTCATACTATAGAGGCAATTTGGCAACATAGTCATGGTAATTAGGAAACTACCACATCTTCACCCCTACCGTGACCAAAATGAAAGGTGTTATGCAAACCATAATGACACTTTACTGATCACAGTGGGGAAATTCACTTTTCATCTATCCCATCTTGCTCTCCATGGCACACAGACATGTACATAGGCAAGACCAAGCCTGGCAGTAAAAAGCAGCCACCTGCAGCGGCACCCATGGAGCTGGGGGTTAAGGGCCTTGCTCAAGGTCTGCCAGACATGTGACTGTTCTGCTGAGGCTGGGCTCAAATTCACAGCCTTCTGGTTATGGGCAC